CTCAGAAATATACGTATAATCAAAGATAACATTATCAGAAGCAATAATACTTTACTTCATATCGATTTAGATATACCCAAGAAAAAACTTTTCTATTAAAATGTCTCTTCAGTAATGACAGTTACACTCTAGAAATCAAAATTATTTTATTTAGCCAAAATAAATATATTTTATGCAGATTCTATAATCTAATCAAGTTCAATATTCTAAATTCTTGAAGATTCTGAAGTTGATGTTTTCTTCTTTTTTTTTTTGAATTGATTTCTAAATATCAACTATTTTAGTTTCGACGTCGTTTTTGCATTATATATACATATAAATCATCAAATAGTAGATATATCGAGGAAAGAATTGAAAATAAGAAGAGTTTTACAGATCAATTTTCACATAAACTATTTATCTTGCTTGAAATGATAAATATATATGCTAAAGATATTTATGTAAATTATAGGATGATTTAATTAACTTGAAGTGTTTCTCATTAACAAATTATAATTACATTTATGATTATGATGATTTAGTTGTTCCTCTTCTTCGTCGTATGACGCATCTAGAAAAGTTAACTTTATATCTTCGTATCAGTAAGACCGGTCTAATCATTGGTGATGCAAGTCCATTTATTGATGGTATACATCTTCATAATGAAATTCTTGTTCATATGTCTCAACTTCATACATTCAAATTTTATATTAGTACACAAATTTGCACTAATTATTCAAATCTTCGTATTTCCAATCATGATATTCAACAAACATTTACAAATATTATAAAATATGGGCAAACAGCTTGTATTATGGATTATTATGGTGCACGTGCAACTGTATGTCATGTTTATTCGCTTCCATTCACATTTACTCATTTGTACGAAATTACGACTCACTTTCCATTTATTGTATTTGATTCTGTAACTCATTTATCTGTGTATGATATTGTTCCATTTAAACATGAATTTTTCATGCGAATTAATCAAGCTTTTCCATTACTCAAATGTTTCACTGTAGAGAATTATGGAATGCAGTATTGGAATTATAATGATAATCTATCATATCCAATTATTGAATTTACTCATCTAATATCACTTGAAATTATACATGCGGGTATATATTATCTTGAACAATTTCTGGTCAAAACAAATACACTTCTACCTCGTCTAACTCGTTTAAAAGTCAAATACAACTACTTGAAAACTGTAACAATCAATTTTACAAGAGAAGAAACGCGCCATAATTGTTCTAAAGTTAAACAATTAATTGTCGAAGACTCAATCATTTTTTCAAAATATGTTTATCAATATTTTCCTTCATTGTAAATTAAATTGTATGTTAATAATTTCTCGTATAAAAATAAATGATGCAAATGGTTATATTATTATTAAAAAAAACTAACGCTATAGTAGGAAAGTTGCACATAAAATATAAATATATAATTATATTTATTTTATTATTTATATTTAAAAAAATTGATTATGCTCGAATATGATCTGATGAAGAAAATTGTGATGAGTTGCAAGAAAATAATAAAATCATTGATTATCAAGATTTTGCAATTGTTCTCAATCGTAAATTAATGTTAAAACTGAAGAAATGTAAAACATGAGAAGTATCTCGAGGTAACTCTGCGAAGCGACTTCGAACAGATGACATTTCATTACCTTCAGCTAATCAAGACAAAGTCTATATTAACCAGTTTTCATCTTCAAGATCCAGACAACTGAATCATAAGTTTCTTCAACTCAACAAGTAGATGATTGCTCGTACATAGTCATTACGATCAACATAAAAAGACACTTGGTTTGATTTCAAACAATGAAAAACAAATGGTTACATTTGCATGCGTTCATTATGTGAAGAAATTGTGTTTGGACAAACTACTTATTTTTGTTTTTCTTTGGGTTGCGATCGTATTTGCGATGAGACAGAAGTTCAACCATTAAAAATGAGTATCAATGCTGGAAGTATTGTAATTAAGGATAAATTAACTTTTTCCCTACTTTTTTGCCTACAGATAAAGAGAAATGCTTGAAAATTCAAAGAATTTTGGACAATGGAGAGTTATATTCAAAATTTTACTTACCTGATGAGATCAGTAGAGCATGTCATAGTATTTCGACATACTTCAGATAAACTTCACATAGATTCAATCGCCGCTTTCGTTAACAGTAGATTTCATTTGTTGTGACAAGAAGCCATATTGCACTGCTTTTCACCACACACCATATCCTTCTCTATCATTGGTCGATACATTATGTCTTCGCAACGAAATACTGGATCAAAACATTAAAATTGAGGATATTCAAAGAGAACAAGCTCCTCTGTTATATCTAAACGTTGTGGATTGTATCTGTTATCACGAAAAGTCTTTTAGAACGCACGATCCATTATGACATCGATATTCATTTTCTTACATTCATTGATTTTCAGCTAATCACAGTGTTGCTTGTCGAGTCCTTCGTCGCTACAGTTTATTTACTGTCTCAAATGCATAATTGTTTAATGAACGTCTTGAATTAGTAGCTAGCTATATTATGTACGTTGATGCATGAAGAAGTGAAAATGTATAAGCTTTACTCAATGAAATGTTTTTAACAAATCATTATAATCATAAAAAGAAAATGCACAAGAATGAAGAAAACTTCTGAAAGAAAAATGTTCAAAAATGATAGATGAAATACCTTATCAATCATAATTCTTCGTAGAAAGCAAAACAAAATCATGTTCATCTCGTGAAGTTTTATAATAATTAATGTTTTGAAAGGAAGAATTTTCTTGTAAAGGTTCTTTCTAAGACACATTTGTAAATGTGACTGATTAAGAAATAATAATTTTATAAAAATCAACTACGAAAATTCATGCATGTTAATATTGCCGCATACATTTTAACACTAGTTTTAGCTAGAAGTACTGAAACTTTGAAAAAATTAAAGATCATGCTTATATAAATATGCTGTAAAATTTCAAGCTTCTATGCCAAGAAAAAGTAAGTCAAATGTTGGTGACAATTTCTCAGCATTTATTAATAAACATCGTCTATATATACAATAATCAAGTTATTCCTTTCTCAGTTATGCTGATATTGTAGTAAGAGTTGTTTAATTTTGTTCGATGAATCTGTATCTATTTCATTAGATATTGTGCAATCAAATAATAGAGGATTATATTCTGATTCAAGGTGTATGGATTTTATTTCAAACAAATAAATTCTTCTAGTAATTTCCTATATAAAAGAGAGGTCATGATAGTGGCCTTCGAAAAGATTCAATATCTCGAGAATGAAATATTATTTTTTGAAGTGGTTTGTGTCAAAATTTAGAGAATTAACACACTTACAAAACAACAAAAAATTTCATCGGAATTAGAAGTAATTAACTATTAAAATAAGGCAATTCTTCTTCAGAAAATCATATTAGAAATATACAAAAATGGAATATTTTTCAAAACTGATTAATTATTTCAACTTAGATAAAAATGTTGGAAATTCTGTATTATGAGGATTGCACCGCCACTGAAGCTCTATCGAATACGCTATGCCACTATATTAGGCAATTCAGCTTTTTTGAATAATCTTGATCACCAGAATATCCTCTATAGTAGGACGGATTGTGTCATTGACATCATATTTCAGACTCATTTTTTTTCTAAATTACGCCCATAATTAGTGTCGCCAGATGCGCCTTTTCACAAGGAATCCGAAGATGTCCTCGAACTTTATTTTTAACTTTCTTTTAGTGTAGAAACATAAGAAAAACTGGTTAGAGACAAATTCTGAAAAAAATCGTGTCTTGTGCACATCGACTTTTACTATTTTCAGTATTTTGTACTTATCTTCGTCAAAATGAAAGTTTTTCAAAAAAAAATGTTTTTACTACTATCCTTAGAATTTCGACCTCTATAAACTCTGAAAGTTTCATTGAAATCTGTCACCACTTCGGTATGACATGATTGAGTTCATGTAGAATTATCCACATGCTTAAGATATTATCATTAAATATAAATGGTTATATTTCATTAATCTTAACAGGAACATA